CCCCGACCCCGACCCCGGGCAGCCTTCTGCCTGCCGCCGGGCTTGGCCTCTCCCGGAGCTTCGCTGGCTTTCTCGCCGGCAGTTTTCCCGTGGATCAGCACAGCCCCGCGGATTACTTTCATCTTTTATTTACCTCTGGATTTAATGTTCGGCTGTTTCATTCTGAGAGGCCTGTTTGTGGTTTTAGACAGGTTTATGAGCCTGTGTTTATATTCTGTGTTACTTTATTTTCTGTCTCCGAGGTCGTTTATGGTTCTAAGGATAATTGCTCCGGGCCAGCCTGTATGTTGGGAGCGTGTAGTACACGCTGAGGAACTAAACTGATCCAATGAAACTTAAACGCCAGTGCCAGAGGGAAGTGGCACCTTTAACGAATGTTTGCTCCCTATATTTGGCTCTGTGGCTTTGCCGTGTTTGCGGGTTGCTTGTTCTGCCTGGGCACCGAGTTTTCTCTCACTGTCACCAGCAGATGCTTGGAAAGTTTCCAAACTCTCATCCTGATTTGTCTCTTATAGCCACCGTTTAAGGAGCAGCAGACAAAGAACCAGAACCCCCTTGAAATGTCTTCCTACAGCTTCTCATTCTGCTGAAGAGAAAAGCCATTTTTCATCCCCCACATGTAACCTGGCTTGCCTCTTCAGCATGAACTAGAAATCTCAAGGAAGCTTTCTTCCCCTGCATGTGCTTTCGTTTATCTTTCACTGCAGTCCTGGAGGCCACCTACGCATAAAACCCAAGAAGCAATTTTGCACCTTCCCCATCTGTTCAAAGAAAGCATTGCTACACACCCGTATGCCCACAAAAGCGAATCGTTCTGTTCTTTTAAAGTGCTTTCCTTCTTTGGAATTAAACCGGCTCAAGTCCCCCCATGGCACAAATCTGGAAAGCGACGTACCTTGTGAGGAAGAACCAGCGGCAAAGGAAGGAAGACCAGGGGAGTCAGCACGGTGATCAGATAGTTCCTGTATGCCACGATCTCTCGCCACATGTTGGAGATGGTGCCCAAGCCAGCCCCGGGGTTAAAGGAGCTCCAGCAGCGTTTCCAGGCTATATCAAGCCTCGGGTGCACACGGGGCTGACCTTGGCCCCTTGGCTGCTGCTGCTTCTGGAGCCATGGCTGAGGCGCACTATGCAGGGAGGGGTTAAAGGAGAAGGAAGGGCCTGCCAGGATCCTCTGAAACCTCTCTGCCCAGAATGAAGTCACGTCGGCTGTTTGGCAGCTGCTGAGTTAATCCTTCGGTGCCTCCCAGTTCATTCCTCCCTCCCTGGCATTCAAATGATTCAGAAACAAACATCTTGCTCTCCAGGTTGCACTTGCTGGGCAGCCTCCAGTTTCTCCTTGCAGATCGGAGCCTCTTCCACAGTGGGTCACCTGGGAACGCGAATGTACCCCCCGTGGCAGGCTCCCTTCTTGTCTACGTGTCCAAACATGCACCGTTTCTGAGCCGGATCTATTCTCTTACGGCCTGCGGATTGCGTGCCATGTTGATATGATCTGGAAAAATTATGACTTCATCTCTGTCCCATCCTGATGGGAATTTTTCCCATAGATAACACATAATGTGTCATAGATGTGTGTACAGGTAGTCCCCCGGTTAAGAATACTGGGTTACAGACGGCCCGTAGTTAAGAGCGGAGCCTATTGTGGCATGAGTTATTGTCGCATGATTCGAGTTAAATACACAATGGTTTGAGTTAATTACCCAATGGCTGGAGTTCATTACACAATACTACGTATACAGTATTATACAATGATACTGTTCTGGCTTACTTACAAATTCGACTTAAGGACAGACCTTGGGAACAAACTCGTTCTTGAACTGGGGACTCTCTGTATATGTGCTAGGTTGGGCCCCTGGCTGTGCTTTTCCTCCTGGACAATGCTTTCAGGGTGATGGCCTGGGGGAGGGGGGCACAGGATGTTAGAGCAGTGTTTTTCAAACTTCTTAACGTTGCCACGTTTGAGAAACACTGCATTAGAGCTCTCCCGCAAGAATTCTTAAACGTGGCTCCCCAGAATACCTGCACACCTGTTCCGCTTCTCCTTCCAAGCACCCTTCATTCTTCACAGCCCAGCGAGGCCAAAGGGGAGTACAGGAATTGCTCAGGACCATCTGGGTGAGTGAAAGGGGGAGCTCAGCTCGCCCAGGTCCAGTCCTCCTTGCGCAGGCAGGCATGCCGGAGAAGTCCCTGCGAGCGGCCTCCACGAGCCACATTTCCCACTGCTGACTACCGGCGGAGGCCATTAGCAATATCCAATAAATCAACAATAGTTGTTACTACCCATTGATTAAGCACAGCAGGAAGATGCTTTTATTTTCTAAATCTGAAAAGAAAAACACAGTTTTTTGGGGGTTTTTTTAGATTTTTGTGTGACCGTCAGACCACATCAGAAGAGAGTTGAGATGACCATCAATTCCATGATTTTAAACAGGGAAGGGACCGGTCAAGGAGGAGCCTCTAATACTGGCGGCTTTCCTTTCCCACCCGAATTTCAGACACAGCACTTAATGGAAGAGCAACATGGAGAAGAATTATCAGCCTTCACACTCTCTGACACAGAGCTGAATTAAATCAGCAAGCAGAGCTGAGGCTGAGGCATGCTCAGAGGCACTCTTGCTCCTAAGCATGTGTTTTACTCATCCCCCGAGTGATCCTTTCCCATTGGCCTCGGCTGCAGGATTCTTCTTTTGTTTAATTGGAAAATGTGCAAAAGTACTATCAAAATCGTACCGTGGATTTGTAAAAGCTGAAGACTGGCAGCAATAGACATGCTTGGGGCACTTTTAGATCCAGGTAGACATCAACTTTTTGCTTGGCACCCGTTTTGTAGACATCTGCAGCTGGGAGAACTCTTCTTGGATTGCAGGGACCTCCTCACAGCTGCACATCCTGCTTGTGAGATGGGCCGAGTGGCCAAGTCGTGCTGCAGAGGATGCCAGCGTCAAAGACCCAAGTTCTGGTGACATTGGCCCCCAACCAGCTGCATCATCTCGTCCTTCTTGCAGCCTGATCTGAAGCATTTGTGGGTGAGGATTTTCTGCTTGGCTGGGCAGAATCCTGCCATGTGGGCTCCCCCAGCTACGCCTGGCATCTGCCCCCTTTCTTCTGGGGTGGGAGAGCTGCAGAGGGGACAGTCTGGAACTGCACATCCTTCTTGTCTGCTGAAGAACGCTCGTGTCGGGCGGTCTTGACAGAAAAGCCCCTCACAGGCCTCACGTCTCAGGGGGAGAAAGTCCAGCTGTTTGCAGGTCTTCTCACAGCAGGGCTTTCCCAGCTGTGGGAATTGCATGACTCTGAAGCCCCCGACTTCTCAGAATTAACTGGTCACCACCGTGCCCAGTGTCCATTTGAATTCTTCTTCAAAAGCAAGGGAGCTCTGCCCATCCCTGTTCCCACAGATGGGCAGCACTCTGGTGTCTGGAAAGGGGGACCCAAGAGGGGGAGAGAGGGGAGGGGGCAGCACAACTATCAGTTCACTGCCACCGAATCCTGCCTGCGAGCAGAATAATGACAGGGTGGCACTCAAGGCCCAGGAGAACAGCCCAGAAAATCAAAGCCAGCATTTATTTACTGCCAGAAATGCAGAAACTCAGAACTTTCTGCTCCTCTTGTTCGTGGAAGTTAGAGTAAGGGCCAGCCTGCAGCCTCCCACACACACACCAGCCAGACCCACTTTGGGATGCTCCTTCTGAGTCACTCCTGGGCCTCTAATAGTAGCCTTGCTGCAGACGGGGGGTGGGCGAGATTTCGCCTCCTCTCCGCTGTCTCTGTGCCAGGCTGACCTGGCCTCATCCTCATCTGCACGGGGCCTTGGTGGTGGGAGAAGACAGCTGTGACTTCTGGCGGCGTGAGGCCAGATCCCATTGAGGAACCCCTCGCTCCCTGGTTGGAGATCATCGTTGCTATTTGCTGCTGCTGCTCGTTGGGAGGCTGTGCAAAGCTCACACATTACTTAAGATCATAAAGGCATAAAAAGAAATCCACCCTACAATATTTAATCATAAAGCGGGGTGAACTCACACCTCTGTCCTCTCCCTCGCGGGAATTCAAGTTCCCAAGGAGCCGGGTGGAAAAAGGTTACGCCAGCCAGGAAGGAGGCGCTTACGACAACCCTGAAGTGCTGAGAATTGGCAGGAACGTGTTTACTTCCGGGTCAGGAACTGCTGCGCCACGGAGCACAGCGGTCCCGTTGCCCCTCCTGGACCCCAGTCGAGATGCTGCACCCCCAAGAACGGTTTTCTTTCCCAAGGGAGATCAGGAGAGCTCGCAGGACACCTCTGCAGCTCAGCCCCCGGAGATGTCGAGCTGCAGAAGGGCCTTGGAAATGCCCTCAGCCGGCCCGTCCAGCTTCTGCGCAGATGCCTCCCAAAGAGGGCCATCGTGGATCCACGCAAAATGCGCGCTCCCGTAGCGAAGCAGCCGTTTGGATCAAGGAGCAGAATGGCAGCACTCGTGCACTTCGAAAAGCCACTTTTGAAACTGCTGCTGCCGCCCGCAGACGGGCATGTAGACCCATTAGGGGCTCCTTTTTCAGGGTAAGCAACATCACACAAGTGTAGGCAAGGAGTAAGAAATAGTAAGTCAAAGAAATCGAAGGCAGCAGACAAGAAAAAGAAAAGGAAACGTAACTAACTCCACTTCACAGCAACTTTATTTACTGAACTGCTCCACGGCTTTCTGTCCTCACAAACCACCCTTGTTTCCACCATGTCGACACGCTGCACCACGCCTGGCCTCTTGTTTCTAAAGTTCTTGCCTCCTCTTACAGAGTTGTGGAGTTGGGAGATACCCCCAGGGATCGTCTGGTCCTACCCTCTGCAGTGTGTCCATCCATGGGCCCCCTGTCCTCTTATTTTACCACTTACTCTTCGAAGTACAGGTACTCCTCACTTAACAACCACAATAGTGACCAGAAAATTGGTCATTAAGCAGGGTGGTCATTAAGCAAGTCACCACATGACCAGCCCTGATTTTACGACTTTTACAATGGTCATTAAGCAAATCACATGGTCGTTAAGCAAATCCAGCTTCTCCAATATGTTTTTGCCAGAATTCGCTTACTGACCATGATGATTTGCCTAATGACTGTCATAAAAAAGGCTGCAAATCGTGATTATGTGACTGTGGCGGGGGTGTGACAGTTGCAATGGTCATAAGTGTGAGTACAGGTTGTAAAGCACTTTTTCCAAGGCCGTCATAACTTTGAACTGTTGCTAAGTGAATGGTCATTAAGTGAGGACTACCTGTATCCCATTCCCACCACATTCAAATTCCTTTTATGTTTCTCCCAACAGACCTAACACTGACTTCTACAATAAGGTCCATCATTAGTTCATCTACTTGTTGTTGATATTTATTTCTGGATGCTTTACTTGTGGGACTTTTTGGAACTAGAAAGTTTGTGGGTTGTGTGAGTGGTGAGATCTATGTGATTCCTTGGGAAAATGCTAGAAAAGATCACAAAAGAGTGGTTTCCAAGCATTTAGAAAGGAACAAGGTGATTGCTGGAAACCAGCATCACTTTGCTAAAAATAAGTTGGGTCAGACAACACTTACTGATTGTTTTTTGACAAAGTGACTACATTGGTCTTCTAAGGGAACGTTGTGGGTGTCGTGTGCCTAGACTTAGAATCATAAAATGCTGGGGTTGGTAGGGGCCCTGGAGGTCTTCTAGTCCAACCCCCGCCCAAGGCAGGAGTCCCCGGACCATCCCGGACAAACGGTTGTCCAGTCTTTTCTTGAAAGCCTCCAGCGGTGGAGCACCCACAACTCTGTTCCACGGCTGACTCGCTCTCACGGTCAGGAAATTCCTCCTTATCTCCCGGTTGGATCTCCCTCCGACGAGCTTCCACCCGTTGCTCCTCGCCCTACGCTCCGGGGCGCTGGAGAATCAGCCCAGGCCCTCCTCCCTGGAGCAGCCTCTCAAGGATGGGAAGATGGCGATCCCGTCTCCCCTCCGTCTTCTCTTCGTTGAGCTACGCGTGCCCGGTTCCTCCAGCCGTTCCGTGCAGGATTTGGCCTCCAGACCCCTCGT